GTGTGTGTGTGTGTGTGTGTGTGTGTGTGTGTGTGTCGTGTGTGTGTGTCGTGTGTGTGTGTGTGTGTGTGTGTGTCGTCGTGTGTGTGTGTGTGTGTGTGTGTGTGTGTGTGTGTGTGTAAAGGGAAATACCAGGGCCATATTGTGCGATATCTACTATACTTTTTGAGTATGTTTGTTTTTTAGGCATGCTCTAGCGCTAATTTCAATTGTTCTGCATTGCAGAGTGCAGACAGTGAAATATTCTGTGTAGAGCCAAAAGCACCGACTATGTAAATGAATAATGATAAACTTGACTACATAGTATTGCAAATGAGCTATATTTTCAAATCACGTGTGAATTGTTTACACGACGACCACAACCATTTGTTTTACTGTTTTTATGTAAAAAAAAATACTAAATCATGAAATCTTATGCAAAGATTTCGACCGAGGGACCTGAAAGCATTAAACGCACAATTGAAGCAATATTCATTGGATTTTAGCGTGACCAGATCTGTGACGCACTAAAGAAAGATCTCTGTGCAAATTTCGGCCAATTATACATACTAAATATACCCAAAAAAACCCCTAAATACATACACGCTCAGCCGCACACTTTATATTCATTAGTGGTTTATGACAAATTTGGTGCTCTAGCCACTACAGCATATTTGCCATTTGGAGCACACATCGTGATTATAATCAGTATGCATTATACTGTATATATAAAAGACACGCACCTCTGTAACCACTACATCCACATACATACCTCTAAATTTTAGTCCGTGAAGATCTACAAGATATATTACCCATTTATAAATACACTATCTGCAAGTTTGCACATCCGAACATATATAGTTCTTGGCGTTGCGCTTGCGTGTTTAATCGATGGCCGCCAAACAGAAGGTCTACCCACCACTCCCGAGGAATGGCTGGCTTATTATGAGCCCACATGTACCGAAATGGAAAAGTTGAATTTCGATGGACATGATCTAGTACTTTCTTCGGAGGTATGTTGTCAATCGCGCTAGTGTTTTCAACCTTCACTGGCACACTACAATGGCTTCTGTGTATGTTCAGATCATGCGAATATACTTGAATCCCCATCGAGTTCTCCTGTTCCGAACTTGTGTCCTATGCCAATGACAAGCTGCTGAAACATAAGCTACTCAAATGAAGTTGCGATTTAAAAATTGTACAATGTCGATGACATAAATAAACGACATTTATTATGTTTGCAAAAGTCAGTCTGAATGGCTGCCTAATATTTACGTTTGATTTCGGTTCCGTTGATATATAACTACTATCAAGTACTGCGTCATCCCGAAGACCCTATTCCGAACCGAAAATTTCCTATGGTAGACCTATGGATATTCTTCGACCGAGAACCCGCACCACTCGTGGTAGATGAGCTTAGCATACAAGCATATGGGGACGCTTGTAAAGAGGCGTGTGCAAACATCCCTGAGAACGGGTGTGCAGGATTTGGAATCCGGTTTTTGCCCGATACAGACTCAGATAACACACTCTGTGTCAATCTGCTTAGCTCAGAGGTTTATTACTCTCTCCAAGAGTTGTACATCGAGGGAAATGGCCTTCTGCCATTGACCAATGCGTTGCAGCTATACATCCGCAACCCGGCTGATTTCTGTTCGGAAGGCGAACAATACTGTTTTAGTTTGTGTGGATATGGTGAGGGTGCGGTGAGTTTGGGCTGTGTCGGTATCAAGTACAAAGAGAGCTGTCATAATGAAGAGTGCACTTTCTATTCGTTTACCGTCAACGACGGAAATGAGTGCGAGGATGGTCTGCATTGTGTTCGCACGGATATCTATGCGAGTGAATGTTTGAAGCTAGAAGATGTAGACGAGCTCAAAGAAACAAAATTAAACTGGTTTAAACTTGGGTATGAAGAAATGCAGAAGAATGTCAGTTCACTGCCAGATGCATATCAGCCGAGTGCTGATCAACTGCTGTTAGTGGACTATGTAACCTCAAGCTGCGCAAGCGAGCCATGAGAAGATAGTGGTGAAGATCCGAAGATATCGAATGCTATTGAAGATGTGGAGGCACTCAGAGGCGATAACGATTTTGATACAGTAGATGAGTACGCCAAGGCCTGCTCAGCTGCCTGTGATACGGCAAGTTGCTCTTCAGCGATAATTATAATATTTACCTCTAAGGTTACTGGAAAGAAGATGGCGAGTTGGTTGTATTTGAGCGCGACGGAGAGGAGGGCCACACAGAAAATGACATGTTGAAAATGTATCACAAATTTGATTCCTGTTGTAACCCAGATTTGTACTTCGATGTCTCCATACGAGGTGGGAGTTCCGGCTTCCTTTCTAAAACGGTGGTATATACTGTAAACCCCCGACTGAGGTAGATGGAAGCTGTATTGCTTCAAATCCGGAAGAAAATCAGTGCGTGGAGGGTACCAACTGTATGCTAGATTATGATGAGCGATGGCGATGCAGGGTAGCCGGGTACAATCCAGAAGATAGCATCAAAGGACTCGAATATCTGAACAAGCAGTGGGTTGTTGGCGAAGGTGATGACACGCTTTACTACCGAGCGGCGGCTGTTGAACTTGTGGTGAGCGATAGTAATGATGAAACTGTAGACATCAGTGAATTGAAAGATATGACCGTTGTGGAACGATTTGAAGCATGTGCTCAGTTTTGCTACGAACGAGAATGGTGCCAATCCTGGGATTTACTAGATGACAAGTTGATATGCAATTTGTCAAAGGTATGGGTACCTGAAAATTTCTTTTATGACGACAAAGAAGACCTTGACGGTGCTATTGAGTCGTGGTTCTTTCCAAGGTTGTAAGCTGTGATATTTTCTAGTGAAGGGTAAGTGTATGCATAAGGCAAATGAAAGCCTTGAGCATAGAATACGATGCACACAAATCATCATTATTAATGTGCATCTAGTATTGAGCGATGTGTCCGTAATCTATCAAGTATTCATTGCGCACTCATAATACCGTATTTTAGACATATATGAGACATGCTACGGTGCGAACGCAGACATGTACGTACTTTAATAATCTTGGTCAAATATTTGGTAGCACCTATCTATACGTAACTAGAATACAAGGTCTGTAAGTGTGCTTTTGCAAGGAAGTTTCACCAAAAAGCATTTTTAATTATATATCCTGCATACAAATCTGTACTCGCTATAGAAAAGCCGAAACACATAAGCTAAATGCGAAAATAGACAGGTGCGTACTTTCACAGAAAAAGTGTTCCCAGAACCTGTTGAAACCTCGATAATTTGTATCTAGAAGTATTATAGTAAATAGTAGGAAGATCAAACTTGAGCTTATTAGGACGTGCAATGTGCTGGTGCGGGGATATATCTTGATGAAGCTTCACTTGGAAAAATTACATACAGAAGCCTTGCGTTTTTAAGTAAATGTGGGGTCATCTTACACGTCATCAGAATCGTTTCTCAGAATGGTACTCATCATACACATCATCGAAGTAGTTTCTCATATATTCAGTGTTTGTTTCAGCATACTTGACTAGTATGGTGTTAAATCTAGTTCTTAAATCTAGTTGTCATGATGCCAGAAGGGCAGTGCTATCAAATCCGTCCACCTCAGTTTATTTCCTATACATATAAAATGTAGTACTAGCCTATCTAAATGGGGAATAATATAGCTTGTTGGCTGATGTAAATATTCCCCAATAAAATTATAAGCTACCTATGCTCCATATACTTCGGATTCATATACCACCGCCAACAAACCAAAACGGGGAAATGTAGCGCCGACCTGGCAGATCGAAAAGTAGAGGCAACAGCTACTCACTCATGGAAACACATACGTATATGTACCTTGCCACACAACCTTCTCGCGCATAGGCCCACCTTCCACATTCCACAGGCGAAATAGACTGTTAGTGAGCTAGAAACCCATATTCAAACGACGGTTCTAATAGCCACATCGAAGAATATATATCCACACATTGACATCAAGAATATCACGCAACATCATAAAGGAATCACACGTTATGGCATAACAGAGAGTAAAATAAATATAAATGAAAAAAGAATGGGTTTGGTCCAGTACCACTAAGCAGTACAACGCACGAGCCGTTCTCCCTGAGACGTGGCAATGCTGAGAGGTTCTCCTGTTCGGTTGCCCGCCTGGGACAGTCTCCCTCTATTTAATTCCCTCGACACACGGGGCTACCCCTATGAGCCAATGGAAACACTGCCATTCTAGGGGCGGCTCAGTACAAACTTGTTGCAATAGCCTACCCACTGATAGCATCCCAAACCCAACCGGCTACTTAGCTTACAGAGTGCCGTGACACACTCCCGGGAAACTTTAGCAATTGCGGGAATCGAACCCACGACCAGCTCATTCGCAGCCGGGTGTTTAACCACTGGGCTGTTCTGAACGGGACTTAAGTACTAATCCCTATATTGATAAGCAATTGTTACCATATAAGGAAAAATAGAAAAGCGCGGCACTTCTTCGGGCACGTACGTGTGAAAATATATATAAATATAATGAACATTCAAGTTCCAATTTTTCAAATTTCAACCCTCAAGTGTCTGTTTATAAAGGTTGTACTGTGATGTGTGTTGATGCAGTCTGAAGCAATCTATCGTGTGAACGCACAACCTCCGGTTGAATTGGTCGCCATGTGCCAATAGTGCCTTCTAACACTTGCAACGCTCGAGAAGGTGGCTGGCACTGTGCTATACATCGGTAAAACAAAAGTCACAATTGCTATACATAGGTAAAACCAACCCATGGGTTAGCTAGCTCATATTTATAAATAAGTCTTCGCGCTCCACTAGGTGTGTCAGCAAGTAAGTTGTCGTTCTGATCTTATCGTACTATCAGTAGTACGAATAGTATATTCTTGTTTTTATACAGCAGACCACTATCATCTCAAGCATGAAGACTATCCTCAGAATGGTTATGTAGTGCAATATTGCACATAGCAGCAGAAATTGATCACTGTAACTGCAGACGCGACGGACTTTAGACACAAGTAAGCTCAGTCTGTTGAGTACTAGAGCTATCGATGCGAATTCAGCAAGACCACAGATTTAGATTGTGTCACTGTATAGGTCAGATGGAAGTGCTACCTACCGGCTTGAAGTGGACAAACTGATTCAGACAAATTGCAAGTTTCTTTAAGTCAATGTTATTCACGGCTGTATATCGTTCACACACTACCCACGATGTGAATGTCTATCGCCTGCTGCGTGTGATACTGCAGATAGGCTCATATAAAGTCAGACTTGACATTTTTCGGTCCTGTGAACGAATTTTAGGTGGTTACCGCTAGGGTCACAGCGAACCTGACACACGAGTGTGTACATCAATCGTTCCTGTGCTATTTTTTGAATGTATATCTCTACTACACGGCCCTCTGGATCAGGGCCTCGCTAAGTTTGCGATTTCCGCTACAGAACTTTATTTTCGCCTCGAGACCTTAATCTAGACGGCCGTGTCTAATATATACCATTTGCTTCGTTGTGTTCGAAGCGGCGTCGCTTACAAAGATTTTGATAAAATATATAATTGCCCGTCAGGCTGACAGAGCATACATATCGACTTTAAAACTTCATATGGAGTGCCACACACTCCTACTTGTAAGTGTTATCTGTATCCAGTAACAGTCATAAAATTTTGGCCTTGTGCTTCATAAGCCTAATGAGAAAAAATTCTCAGATCAAACCGAGGCCCTTAAGAATATTCTATTGAGTCGCGTTGTAGGACACAACTTCAAATTATCATGCATGTCCATTCACCCCTCAATACTAATCAATAGCCAGTATGATATTTATTGACTGATGCGCTTTTTGTACGCTTCCCAGCCAGCCGCCATATACTCTTTAGCGGCTGCCGCACAATCTGGAGCCTTGTAGACACCACGGCCCACTATAATGATATCGCATTTGCGCTCTCGGATGACCAGATCCGGCGTGTTGTACTGTATGAATCGTAGAAGTGGCAAGATATAGAATGTTGAGCATGATATTCGGATCATACTACACTGGCTTGAGAGGTTGCAACAACGAGAGTTGAGCCAAAATGAGGCCTAATTTGGACCACTCGACTATGAGATCGTTGAATGTTCCCCTCGCGCGAACATCGATGGGAAGATGTAGCTCGTAAATTAGTTGCAACAAATTCATATGGTAGTTCTCAGACAGTTTCAAGTCACGTATCATGCTGTCTACTGTACCTCCTGGCAATACAAACAGCATGCTTTTGACAACTATGTTTACACAACGAGTTTACATAAGAGCGGACGGGCAAAGGGGCAGGATTGTGGACTGTCATTCACTATAAAACCTCTTGCACGTTGTACATATCTATCTATATGTTACGCCAGGCCCCTTCCAGATGTCACAGCAATCCGCAATAGAACTCTAGGTGCAAATACGAGATCATGCAGACGATATATGAAACGAGAAGGCGTTTCTCAAACACAATCAACTCACAATACGTACAATGCGCAAGCGCTAGATACGACAATCGAATTGACTCGATTCGTGCGCATGTAAAGGCCTGTGTATACACACCTGTTGTCCCAGCGCATCCGTGCCTGCATTCAACTGCACACCGGGAGTCATGTATATGAGCGAGGGATCTTCCGGCACTAAGCAGTCCTGTGAGATGAATCCGAACACAAAGTCTTTGTTTGCTTTGGCCATCTGGACGGCCTGTGCTGCGTACTCGGGCGATGTAAGCGCTCCTTGTGAACTGTACCGAGAACATCCGCAACACATAACAACATGAGGCAAAATGTGAAACTTCGGCAAATAAGGGGTTCGATGGTGGCAAGAACAGCGCTAATTTGCGCTAATTTGCCTCCATGTGGGAGTGTGATATTGCACACCATGCAGCTGGGCGCTATGGGCATACATATACATAAGTAATAGCGGCCGATCAAGATGTTATATGCATCACTGTTCAACGAGGTTCTCATACTAAAGTTACAGAAAGCAGCACATAGCGGACAAACGACGTGAACTTGTTCTTTGTGGCACTGTACAAAGCGATGTATACTTGGACAAATCACAGGCTGAGCGTATATATGAACCAATATATCGTTTGCTCGGACACCTATGACCCAGACGCTATACATGTGGGTCGCATATCTTCCGAGTGTTCTTGCACAGCGGAGAACAAAATCAAGAAACATTACTCGCAAGATGTACAACTGGAACTATTGAAGCAATACTCATACCTGACTCGTACAACATATGTGCGTATACACACCTCATCTGAGCTAGCAGCAGCAACCCTCGGCCTAAGGGCTTCCCCACTTGCCTCAGACCATCGACGATACCGGGGCCAGGAATAGGATGCGCATTGGTAAAATGTGACCAGGAAGCAATTTTGTATATACCATCCCTGTATTGATGTACCACAGTGTTGCCTGTAAAAGGGACAATTTAGTACGTGAAGTATTATTGAGTGTGCCAAGAAAAGGATATGGAATGACCTCGTTGGTATGGTATGCTGACGCGTTGCCT